TGTTTGTAATTCATAATTCAGATTACAATGTCACTATGCTGAGAGGCTATCTATAAACTTATAATTAATATAAAATCTGATGTATTTTTCTTATTTGTAGTGTGTATTTACAGATTTTGATTTTCAAAACTTATTGCAATCCAGAAATTTTCCACTGACATTTAACCAGTTTCAGACCAGATCATAAAGCATTCATTTTACCTAGCTACTACTATGTGACTGATATTTCCCTCTTATATGACTTTTCTATGTAGGAACAAACAGGAAGATTAATTCAAGTTAACTTCAAAAGTGGATTAACTAGGCCATACAAAATTGTTTTGTGGGCACTCATGCAGAATTAAAGCAACATCAGTGAAATTTTCATCTATTTTGAAATAGGTTAAACTAAATTGAATCAAGGTTAGCTTAGTTCTTAATAAGTGACCACTCAAGCATTTAGTACTTTCTAACTGAGCTCTTTAAATATACTACTCTTGTTAATACACAGTATTCCTCCACTTCTTTGTCTAGACAAGCCTGTCGAGATTTAGTCTTCAAGTAATTTTTTAAAAGTCAACTTCAGAATAGTGGAATGGCTAACACCAAGTTGTTGGAAAGACTGCGTATGCAGCCTTGGTCCTCACAATTCTAATGAATGAGAAATGTTGAGACATTCATGTGTCTCCACAGAATGGAGGCTATTCTACACAGGGTCTCCTGCAAGCAGCCTTAGTACGCAGTTCATCCTGCTCTTGCGCTGAGTACTTGTACTGCAGAGCGATGAGGACCCTGGAAAATCTTACTGGATAAGAATATCCTGCATAGACACAGGTCTTGTAAATGAATGAGCACAGATCTTACACAAAAAATTTTGACACTTCTCAGACTGCCAGGTCCTTCTATTATTTTCCAGTCAATGGCACACTTGTTTATGTCCAGAAAACACAACATTAACATTACTGATTTATTGCTGACTTCTGGTGAGAAAAAAATTATGAATTTTTAATACGAATTATTTCAAGGATGCTGTTACTGTTTTCATTATTACTTTCAGAGACATGGCAGTTACATTTAACTTGATCTATCCCTTCCTTGATCTATCTTTCTATTTTGAGAAGGGACATCACATCTTTTCTCCTCAACATTTTGGTTCAGCTTTTTTGATCTAGTTGCATTCAGATGGTCAGCTTTGGGAGTATGAGTTTATGTAGCTCAAGTTCTGGAAGAAACTGCTGGCAGAATACCAGTACCATCATGCATGTGATATACACAGACTGTCTAGGTGGCAAGGAGAATAAAAAATATAGTATCTGCAGTTCATCACCCATCTATAGACAAGAGATACTTGTCCTGCAGTGATGAAGTTCTTGCCTTCACTTTTGAATATTGTGCATTATTTTCAAAGTAGTTCAATGCTTCTATTTTATAGAACAGTACCAATATCTTTGTGCTTAATTAAATAGACAAATACTGCAACTTCAGAATAATGAAAAAGGTCATATTTTCCTCCAAAGTTTTTATATGTTGCAGAATCAAGGGAAAAATAAAGGAATCTGATCTCATTCTCTTTCAAAATAACGACCCATGGAAAAAATCTTACACATTGCACTGCTGGCAGGTTTATTTTCCCTTAGCATTGAGGAAACATCCTTGATGGTCTCTCAAACAGCTCTCATATCAAATCACATATTAAATAAAACTTTCTCCTTTTGCTAAATTTGGAAATCTTTGCATTGGAAAATAATTACAGGAAGACAGAAAGGGCAAAGCAATAAAACAACCTTACAATAATAAACCAACCACCACATGCTAATACACATGTAATGAATTCATATACTGGAGTTGCTGAGGTTTTCATGTGGTGTGCCATTGCATATCTTTTGCTGATAATATGATGAAATGATTCCTATTTATGCTAGAAAACATTTGGGAAACTGTGTTCCTCTTTATCACTGCAGAAGCAGAGGAAAAATCTAGCTGAGAAAAGCTTTTTTTTTTTTAATAAAAATGCTAGCATAATATGCTCACATAAACTGTGTTCCAACTCTGCTTAATGATAATTTTAGTTTTCCTAAAGGTACAACTTTGACTAGACAGTAATTATAGAATTTCTGATGTCCAAAAAAGTTTTAAACCTCTAATAAAATATGAGGGCAGATGCGTGAATTATGTAAGTCTATTTAATGACACATCTATTTACATGGAAGTTAGCATGACTAGTTTGATTTCTCTTGACCTTGAAAATAATCCACAATAATTTCTCTAATTTAAAAAAGAAATTTATACAGGATTAGTATTAATCTCACTATTTCTCGCTTTTCATGCTCTTCCATTACGGTTTCTCTTTGTTTCTGCCACATTTGCACATGTGTAGGCTTAGATAACAGCAGAGTAAAAATATCAACCTCTCCAACTGACTGTATGAAAAATGCATGTTGTTTCCTGTTTCAGCCATGAGGACAGCTACAACATAATTGTAATAAACATAATGAACTTTTGATTAGTTTAGATTTTCATACCTTGGTAAAAGCCTTGAAACAAACTAGGACTTTGATAAAATTATAAAGCTGTTCATATAAAGGGCATGGTAGATAGTCTTCACCATAGAGGTGAATTTATATAAGCCTCAAATTTTACTCCAAGAATTGAAAAATCTGCTTCTATGTGCTTGAAAATATATTTATTATAATATAGAAGGTAAAAAAATGGATTTCTAGGAATTCTTTTTTTTTTGTGTGTGTGGGTAAGTTTCAATCTTTGTATAGGTGTCAATTTTGACATTTAGGACAGGAGAAAGAAGGGGAAAGAATTCTAAGTAATTCCTTGCAGCTCTACAGGGGAATGAAATATACTGTCTACTGCACATATTACCATTTCTTACGAAAGGTACAGTACTGCTTAAAATTCTGTTTAAATGTGTAGCATTCTAAAATTGAAGATATATACAGCTTTTAAACTTGTTTGTTATTCTTTATCTGATTGCTTTTTAATATCAGGGAAAGGTTGAAGAACTCTCATCAAAATCTAAGAACATGTGAATCTATTCAGCTTTTGACGGCTGAAAGAAGATTTACTACTTAAATTTCTAGATTAGCTCAGAATGTGTAAATCCTTTTCTACTTCCATTTATCAGCAAAAATTATTAATATTTAGCACACTGAGAAAAATACACTGGTTTCATCTGCAAACAGAATAGACAAAAACTATCAAGTTCCAACTCAAGTGTACATGACCTAGGACTTTTAAATTCTCAATTTGAGCAAATACCAAAGAACAACATTCATAAAGAGAAATCACTCTGATGTTCTTCTGGAAACATTTCATCCATTGTCTGAACACTAACTTATTCTTTTCAGTGGATAAAGAACAGCTTGAAAATATTTCCATAGTAAGTTCTATTTGCAAAGTCAGTTATGAAGACTTGTTTTCACAGAACTGCTTATGATCTGGGAAATATCCAGTCAAGAATAACTGTGTAATAATAATGTACAATTAAATTAACCCATCATAACAATTACTGTAAATGAAAGCCACAGTAACAGTTTTTGAATGCTGTAAACTTTGCAGGAGCATGATGTGCAGAAGAAAGACTGCTGGCAGACAAGTTTTAGTATATTCCTGTTTTACATTGAATTAGGAATTTTGTACCATAAGATAGTTCTTTTCTCCCCTGGAAAAATCATTGTTTTAACATAGTGGTTATTTATTACGATTAACACTACTTGGTCTATATGAATTCTATACTATTAAAATAGTAATATTTTTCTGCTAACATAGTTTCTACCTCTGTATCTATCGTTTAACAACGGAATCCTTAAAAAAATTAAAGTCTATATCTGACTGTATAACTCTGTATTTTTGACTAAGAAAAAAAAAAGATGAAAAAAAAGCTATGCCATTTTTTATGTAGTTGCCCTTAAACAACAAATTCTTATGATCCATGTGTGCAAATATTTTCATACAAATACACATACTAACATTTAGTTGCTTGATCTTAGCATTTCATTTATAATTTCTTTTCATTGATGACAGATTGTTCTATACATGTTTTATACTTAGCTACCATTTTTTATTATTATTCAAATATTTTAAGTTTATACATATGGATAAATAGATATTTATAAATACACAGATACATAAAGCTACACATTTATTACATGTTTTATATCATGTATATAGGACTCTAAAGCATTCTACTTGAGGTAAAAGAGGTAAAAAACTTGTATACACCAAAACAGTCTGGATTATTAGCAGTGAAATTCTTTCCTCAGTAGTTTAAGACAACAAAGTTGCATTGAGAGCATCCATACTAATATTTAGTTCCTATTTTCTGTATAAACCAGATACACCTCACAGGTGAGATTAAAGACTTTGATTCTTATCTGACATGAATCAATGCATTTCAATTGACGTCAAAGGGATTAATTTATACTAGTCAAGAATCTGGAACATATTTTTCTTTTTACTGTAAAGGAGGAAAAACATGGAGCCAACCATTAACACAATGCAGCGAGATTTCCTCCTAAAATGCCCTACCTTTATTCACCTTTTTTATAGGGTGGTTGGGGCAGAGGGCACACTGTGATGGGAGACAATATTTCTTAATATGAGAGGAAAGAAAGTGAGCATGATTCTTCTTATGTGGTTTTGTTATGGAACAGATCTTTCTATGAGGGCATATGTTTATTTTAAATAATGCACTGTCAAATTAATAACAGGATACTTGGTTTATAACTAAACTATTAGCTAAATATAATTTTAGGAAGGTGGTAAAGCAATACCATTTGAGCAAATTTGTCTCCACAGGAACAATATTTACTGATTTGATTTACCTGGCTTGCCTCACATCTTGTCCCCTAGACTTGAATGAGAGATGTGAAAAGATTGCAAGTCTGATCTCCATTAAAAGAAAGAAACAAACAAACAAACAACCCACAAGCAAAAATTGGGGGAAAAAAAAAGAAGAAAATTCTCGAAAGGAAAAGGAATCTCCTTTACAATAAAGGAAAATCATGTACCTGATGTCAGGTTGTGATGTCGTGGAGCTTCTTTAAGTGGTGGGACTCCTAAAGAAAAAAAACATAGGTGATAAATTAATCTTCAGTTTCAGGCAAAAATAAATTTCAATAAGAAACATGCTAGTTTATTGGAATCAACTTACAGATAAGAATCTCTGTAAATTGGATATTTTTTTTTTAAGCATGACTTTCCTAGTAAATTATTTAAATATTTTATGTCTAGTAAAACCGTAGAATAAAACTTCTAGATATTAGATTAGTAAACTTACACCAGTACAACTGTTACCCTTTGAGGTTCCAGGTCTTCAATATACAATGTTTATATGCAAGTCACTGTCTTTAAGCAATGTAGAGGCGACAGTTATATGTTAGACTACTAACTTAATAAATGAGTGTAACTTATTGCTAGTAATTATCTTCAGAGGTATAGCAGAAAACATTTCTCTATCTGGATATTCCTACAGGGAAACAATCAAGGCAGTGCTGTGTACAGCAGGTTAGTGAGAATATAGGTGACCGTGACGTCTATCTTACGTGCACAAAGCGCTTCTTGTTATCGATGTTGCTATTCCACAGGAGGAAGCTGGTGATCTAAAGCATCACACACGCTATGGAGACGAATTTTGCCCTACCTCACCGGGGCGCATAGTGGCAGCGGTGGGGCTGTTAAGCGCGCCGGTGCGTGAGCAGGGTGCTGGAGGAGCCTGCGGGCGCTGCGCCGGGCGAGGAGGCTGCAGGCTGGCGCTGCTGCAGCCACACTGCCTGCGCCCACGGAACCCGGGGCGCTCACATGCGAAGCAGCCTTCAGGCACTCAATTGCCGGGGATTTATGCACAGTTTCATCATTTTGCCTTAATTGCACGTGTTTAGAAAGACCAGCAAAGCTCCTGTTTCCAATGTCATGAAAAAACCCCGATGTTTGCATTTTCGTTGCTGTTTGCAGAGATTTTCATCCCTTTATTACCTTTGGTTTTTTCATCCTTCAGATGTTTCTTCGCAATTGTTTTTTCTAGCAAGGAAAGAGTAGCACAGTTCAAGGTTGGTAAATTGACTGCTGAATAGATTATTACCTAGAGTTTTCAAGTAAAGTTCTTCAACAATTAAGACAGGGGTAGTTTTAAATAGCAATACATGTAAAATTGTATTCTGATACTATTTTTGTTGTGACCTTCTACATATATATGCACATGGAGAGTAAATTCTTACCTTCTTTTTCCTTACTTGTCTTTGTTTTTTTCGTGGCTAGAAAGATTTGCAAGGAAACATCATTAACTGACACGCATCAGAAATATGGGACTCTTAGTAAGTATATTTAACAAAGCTGATCTCGATAGTAATTTCCCTGGAATAAAATCTGTGGTAAATGTATCTCATGGCATGTGTACAATGTATCTAATATTACCACAGTGGCTGCTACCCTTAGTGGCAGTTCTGGGCTTTCTGAACAGTTGTTGGATATTGTTTGAATAATGCTGGTTGCAGAGTATTTTGGAAACTCCTGATAAAGGATTTAGGCACTAGAATTCTGTAATTACCTAACAATTTCTAGAATTCCCTAATTATTGGTGGCCAAAATGCATCAGGGAAGGATTCTGCTTCCTAGAGCCTGCTTCTTACCCTCTTTCCTGGAGCAATCTCAATTGTCTGAAGCAAATAAACGATTAAAGAACCCCAGGATATGGAGCTCAATGGACCTTTAGAACCACCAGATATGACCATTCTGAAGTCCTTCAGAAGTAGATTCTGATTTATTTTATTTGGTTTATTTTTCTCTCATTTTACATTCACTTAGAACATGTGGGGCTTTTTTGTTTGGTTGGTTTTTTCTTTTTTTTTTTTTTCTTTTCGGCAACCTTTTCACCAGCCTGCTAACACAGGCGTTTGGTCTGTGACTCCATTCAACAAGGCGGACTGAAATTAAGTAAGGTGTATTGCTTCAGGAGTTTGAGCCCATTTCAGTATTCCCTGTTGACTACAGAAGAAAACTGGCAGGCAGCCTTGGAATTGTTAATTTTCACTTCCCGTCATCCGAACAGTTGTAATAACGCTTTGTTGAAAGTCTTCTGGTGCATGTATTATCTGATTAACACTAGCTTGTTCAGTGCTGATCACCTGTGTCTATCTCACCAAAACATGCTGCAGAAGATGAACAGTGGAAATAACATAATCTGATGTTCTTTGGTAGAGAGCCACATAGCTGTGATTCTGTCAGTTTACCAATGCTGGTTTACATTAACGTTGTTCATTATTGATGAGCAACATGTATAAACCAACACTGATGTTTATTAATTATTTTGATAAGATATACCATAGGAAATTAGTATTTACCTGCTGTTGGGAGTTCACCTGTTGGCTCTTCAGAAAAATGACCAGAAATGAGGAGAAAGGGGAGAAGGAAAAGACTATGAGGTTCAGTACCATGTTTTTTCAAGGCAAGTAACCATTTAAATAGATGTCTTTCATCTGCAACTTTTCTGCAGGATATTAATTTGCAAATAAGTATGCCTTAACAATGGGCGGGTACATGGAATTTCATACTGAAAGCTAAGATTCTCACTCTTTGAAGTACTATAATCCAGCATGCAATGGTTCCTGCAAATGCAAGCACTGTGCCAATGAAAGCTTTCCAGTCCGCAAGTATTTAAATAGAGTTACTTTAAAATGTGCATTCAAGGTTATAGCTGACTATGCAATTTTACAAGAAATGTATTCAGTTTAATTGTTACATCTCTTATCATCCACACATCTCAACCAAAGACTGACACTGACCTTGAAAAGCTGGCACTCACCCCTGTATAATTGTTTCTCCTGCATTATCAGTTTGCCTTGCCTTTTAAGAGTAAAAGCTCTAGAGAGCTGGAAAAATTTTGGCTACATTTTGCACAGCACCTAGCACAAAAGAAGCATACATTCCTGTGTTATTATATTACCTACAATAATTAATGAAAATCGATCAATTCAGTGGGACAGAAATTCCCTGGTGTAAACCATCAGTACTTTTTTTAAGTCAAAGGAATTAATTAAATTGTGATTTGAAATTGAAATTTTTTTTATCCATAACTACTTCATTAGTCCCAGATTTTTTTTTAGAACACAATTTTAAGGAAAGAGAGTAACCTCTCTAATCAAGCAAAACCTTTATTCCTTGAACCTAAAGCTGGATAAAAAAGGAATATGTTCATAAAACATTTCAGGGCCTCCTTTGATTGAATTATCTCTGTATTTTCTTCATGCTGAGTTTTGACTTCAGATGAACATGAGGTTCTACAGCTCATACCAAGGTGAAAAAGTTTCAGTCAATGTTTTTTCAACAGGAAGACTAAACAATGAAACATGATTTTCACTAAGACATTCCAGAAAACTTTCACTCAGGTTTTTGTTCATAAATGTCAGTGCTCAATATTTAAGCATCACAGGCATTCAGCGAAGGCCAGTTTAATGCTAACATGCTTATGTCTTTAAAATTACATTTCTGCTTATGATCATGCTCATAGTTGCTGAAAGCTGATACATTACTACACTGTGATCCATGGATTAATACCTCTTATCATTTTCAGAAATTAAAAAAAAAGAAAATATATTTGTCTGAGGCACTAAATCTGGGAAAGGGGTGCAAGATCTCACTCCTTAACTGAGGGGTTGTCTGACTGAAGGATCTGGACTGGCCCAGTTATATGCATATATCCTAATTTAGGATGAATGACTGATTCCCTTAGATAGTGCGGTACTGTAAGACTGTTGACCTTAAGGGTAGTTAGTTTGACCCTCTGGTGTATGTAATCTAAGGGCCATTTTCTCCTCTCAATGTGTCAGCAAACCTCCACTTTGAGGGCTTTGGGGAACACTTTACACCTGACATGGGAGATTCATTATAGAAACAAATGGGAATAGACTTTAGACCATGCTTAGTTTTTTCTTAAAATGTCAGCCTAAATGTTCTTTATCTTGATTGCAAAATGTAGTTTGGTATTACCTCTTGCATGACTAAGATATGCCACCAGTTTTGTCCCCTGTTCAAGGTGACCTCTCACAATTGGAGAGCCATTATTCAGTAGACAGGGAGCAAATTCTGAGCTTCATTACACATTCAAATTTAATATAGAATCAATTGATGTCAAAGACCCTCCTGCATGCTAAAACAGAAATAGTGAAAAATAAGATAGTTTACTAATTGCATTTATAATTGTATGGTAATTCACATAGTGGGCTACTGTAAAAATGTATTTGTTGTTAATTTGGGACTTTTCAAACTCAATCTTGTATATCTGTTTATAACCTGTCATTCACTTAATGATACGATCTATACTGATTTAAACCTCTTTTACAATAAGACTGCACGGGTTACAATGTGTGAATAAATTCAGCCCAGGATAAATGTATGGATTTATTTTACATTCCTACTAGACCTGAACTCCAAAATCAGTGAGTATTTTGTGCCCATGCCTACATCTCATACGGAATTACATGACATCTATGTTCATGTTATGACAAGTATACTGTACACCTGGCTGAGAAATATATGAAACAAAGACATTTAGAGGTCTACAAATAAAGAAAGCTAAGTGATCCAGATAAGTATTCTTATTTTAATAGAAAAAAGATAACTTAAAATAGATAGCTCAGGTGCTTAAAATCTTGAACTAGGGCTATTCAAGGGTGGTTAGCTCAAAACAGATAAACAGAATTACTTCTCTATATGATCATATCATAGGTATGTTTGTTACTGGGGTTTTGTTTGTCTTTTTCTTTTTCTAAAGGCACTGTTAACCTTTATAATAATTTCAAGCAGCAGGATATAAGCTCAAGAATGTGGTACAAACATCCCTCTGCAAAGGTCAGGGGAAAATATCTTGTCTGTTTCTTATATTCACAATATGCTAGGGTAATATAGCTTTTCATAAAAAAAACAAAACAAAACAAAATCATTGTAGACAGTGATCCATACTTCTTAAAGCATGAGGAATTAGTCACTTAAATCTCTGATGGGTCTCTAATAGTAGAGATATAGTAGAGATAGAATGGCAGAGGTAGCATTCTCTCCGATAAATCAGAGCAGAAGACATAAAACGTCAGTGAACAGATTCAGTGAATACAAGACTGAATAAATATGAATAACCGAGTCAAATAGAGGAAAATTTATGTAAAATACTGGAAAAAAATGGAAATAAACCCACCAATTGCTTCAGAGGAAGAAATAATTTTGCAATGATCACTTGAAAACTGAACACTCCAATTCAGGATTGCAGGAGATCCTTCAGTGTTGGCATATTTCACATCGTTCATGTTCACCCTTTACCTCTGGAGCTGGGGTTCAGAATAGCACTGTGTTTTATGACGGGTGTTTAAGAGTGGGTATTCATCTTCTTTAACTTCAAGTACCTAACATAGGTGATTAATTTAGGAAGCTTAATGGAATCGGTTTGCATTGTCTTGTCAGCTTCTGACCTGGAGCAGGAAGAGGTCTGTGTCTCATGGGACTTGGCCTTGATTTTGGATGCTCTTTGTAAATTACTTTGCATCAGAATAACACAGGGTTTGGTCTTGATGTGCCAGGCACAGTACAAAAAAGGAAACAGAGATGCTGTGCTAAAGAGATTACAACTAATTCATATATGAACGTCTGTACTTCAACTTTTTCATAATTCAAAGCATGCAGTGTAAACAATGTCCTTCTGATTGTTGTCCGATCATGATTTGTAGTATGTAATATGTAATGACTTGCTACAATAAGCATAGATCCAAGTCTTCATCTATTTAGAAGTCTTACTGACCTTAACAAGGACTTTATCCAATGACTTCAGTGGAAGTCATTGTTATGCAAGAAATTCTCCTTGAATCCTCCTTAAAACTCATCTAAAAGGGAAATATTCCTTTCTCTTCTTTAATTTAATTTAGTTTTTTATTAAAGTAGGAAAAAGAAAGGTGTATTGAAACAAGGCCAAGAACATGCTTAGTGAATTAATGAAATAAGTAATTTCCAAATGGTAAAAGAAGTAATGAAAATATTGTCTAATTCAGTTATACTACATGCCATTTTGTTATTTTTAACAAACAGCATGTTTGCATAAAGATAAATCATGTGTCTACACTCATCTAAAATCACCAGAGCATCAATTATGCTACTAGCACAATTTACTTCTATAAAAAATAAAAAATGCGAACAGAGTCTGAATTTTGCAGTGTCACAATATTAAATTATAAATGTACTTAGTTTTGATGTGTTCAGCTCTTAATAAGCAGATGAAGTACAAGACTTTCTGTAGTATAAGCAAGAAATAACATTATCTAACATGACAAAATTGCAAAAATGCAAATTGGCACAACATGCAGCTGAAAGGAAGGATTATATTTTGTAGGAAACAAGACGTGACACATACTTGCAGTGTTTTTCAATTTGACTGAGAAATAAAAAGAGGAAAGAAAAATGGTCAGAACTGTCAGGTGCAGCATAATACTCTTATAGTGGAGAATGGCTTTATTTGTTCTATTTATCAAACAGTAATTCTTAGTAATCTCACAGTAATTAATGACAATTTAATGATAGATAATAATAGCAGGGATGTTCTCATCTACACATGATAATTGTGCTAGAGTTAAGGGTGAAGAATGTAAGCAATAAGAATTTTAATTTTCCATTTTTTTTCCTTTCACAGAGAATCATGAAGAAGACATTTTGTGAACCCATAGTGGTTGCTTCAGAGTGAAACTGAACAATGCTGCTTCCTACACCTGCAGTAATTTTGCTCTATCTTGTACAAGTGAGGCTGCATAGGAGCTATGACATGGAGAGACATTTATCACGGATGATGGATAGTGGCAGGTCATGATCTGGATAGCATATTGCATAATACCTGCTATGGATGAAAATTAAACTATTGCTGGTTCTGAGAAATTGACTCATGCACGAAGACTGTGACGTTCAAATAAATGGCAAATACCCACAAATAATTAGTAAAATTAAGCAATTTAAAACAAACACTTTCAGAAAACGGCTCAAATCCTTTGCTGGCATAACTTCTTTGACATTGATGGAATCACAGAAGCAGAAATTTAACCTTTGATATATATATATCTTCAGAAAATGACAACTGGCATTGGAAATACATAGTGTGCTATCTTAGCTATTGTATCACATGTCAAGGCCATTCTATACAACAAAACAGATCACAGGGCCATGATTTTGACATTTGTCATATGCAATTGTATTTTGCAATTTCTTTAAATAACAATTTCAAAAGTAATGAAGGTATAAAATGCAGCAGTACTTACCTGGTTTTGTAGGTGGAGCATTTTTTTCATGTCTGACTGCTTCATGCTCTAGATAAAAGAAACATGATAAAAAAATTGCCATAATGTTTCTAAGTTACATTTTGTATGTATTTATTTATTTTTTTTTAAACTAAGAAAGATTGCATATAACTTTTTCAGGAATAAACATCCATTTGCTCTTGCTTCATGCTGTTATTTTGCAGAAAAGGCACATGAATAGTTACTAACAGATTAACCACTGAGGGATCTTCCATAAAATAACTGTTTAGTAGTATTGCACTTAGCTCCACACATATAGCTATTATTAATTAGAGTCATGCAAGTATCTTAAGGAATAAGTCTGCTAATAGGGTCTCCTCCTAATTTCTGAAATGTAATTTATATCTGCTCTCCATTTTTGTTATGGGAAAAGAGAGTACGGAGCAACTCAGCAACCATTCACTTGACCTGTATGTTGTTGATTCAGACATACTTGAGCTGAAATTCCCCAAGTCTCAAACACATCCTATTCCATAAAAATAAATTATATCTAACTGTGGAAAATTAGAGAACTAGCACTGTTTGGTAGGCAATGCATCTTTTTGTTCTTTTTTTTTTTTTTTTTTTTTTTCTCTCTGCTCTCCTTTTTATTTCACAATTGTTACCAGAAAAAATGAGAATTTATGTTAGGTTGCTGGAAATGGAAAAGTTGAAGAAGCTTTGTTTCAAAACCAAGGTCTAGCTCTACAACATTTATACAGAAATTACACCAGCTTAAAAGGAATTTAAAAAACCTCACATCACAAATCTCATAGCATAGCAGCAGCTATGCGTTTGCCTGCATATGCATGCAAATAGGGGCCACAATACATTTTAGAGCTGAGGAACCAATGGACACCTATGCTGGCCTTGTTTCCAGGTGATGATTCACACAGCTAAAAAAAATGTGCATCAGTTACTTTTTTGAACAACAAGGACACAAAGGTAGTCTGTAAAGTGGAAAATGTTGAAACTGTAAGTAGCCCCTGAAAAAAGGGCAATATGCGTCAGCCCTTCTGCTACTTAGATGAATAAATGAGCTCCTAGCAACTGTGATTTCAGGTGAAGATATGAAGACATGATAGGGAATTTCAAATGGGAAATAGTTTTATGAGATATGAGTTAAAACTTATGGCAGTGAGGTGTGATATTTTTCCCATATCTGGACTTTTTCTGAGTGTGGCAGTATTTGGGGACTTAATATTTTTTTTTACTTTTGCAGTTTATCTTGCATGTTGAATGTATGAAAAAGATATAGAAAGCTAGCCAACAGGTTGAATGGTAAGTTAATTTATGGACTCTTTCTTCAGTTTTTTTTGACTGAGAAAAATTCTAGATGTAGATATACTAAAATATTATATGATTAGGAAGAAAATAAGATGATGTCTTTATTTTTTTTTTTTTAATTCAGCAATATTTACTCAACCCAACTAATTTTTGTTACCAATGATTTTTAAAAAAACTTGTCACTCCTGTATGTATTTTTTTGTTGATACTTGTGGTATGGGAAGCATAGAATGAGTTGATTCCTGCAATGAAGGCATTGGTTATGTCAAATAGGCTTTTAAATAGCAGTGACAAGACAGTATGTTAAATTAAAGTAATGGAAGGCATGGTGATAAAGACACTATAATTTTAAGCAAAAGTAGAAGCTGCTAAGGGAGAGTTTCCATGTGTTAAAATCAAAAAAGCCACACATATCCAGCTATTTTACAAGAATTTTTCAGATCAAGGTAAGTACCACGTACTTGATGTCTTTGCCTGGACTACAGAAGACAAAAGAAAGTAAATTGAAATATTTAGATAGAAAAAGAAAAGAGATTCTACATTTTTTTTCTTTTCTTTTTTACATTTAAATATTTTTATGGAAGTCAGTTATCACTTGTTTTTAGTTTCCCCACTCATGTAAAGATGCACAACATCCAGACCCCTAAAATGCAGGTTTAGACCTTTGCAACTCCCACTATCTATAAACTCCTGCTGAAATGCAGTAACCTGTCATTTAGCATGGTAACACATTTATGTATTCCAGGAATATTTCTCACTGTGTAACAGTGTAAATCAGAAGTAGCTCCAGACCAGTTAACAGATGATTGGAAACTTTGTGTGGGATTCAACTTATTTGCAACACCAGGAACACATCGGTCTATGCTTTTAGTGAGGAGAGCGCTAGTCATCTCCAGAGGCTAATTCATATAATCATAAAAGGTTTGTTAAAGAAAGATAAGAAGACTTACCCACTGTTTGAAGTTGCCTGTTTCAAGCTCAAAAGGTATTGATCTGAAAACTTACAAGTTATTTCTGTAGTGGCTTATGTTAAGTCGGCCAACCTGAAATACTGCATTTTCAGTTTCGTTCCAACAAACAGGAAAAAGACTTGGCAAGCACATGACTCTAACAGATCTTACAAAAAGTAGTCAAGTCACGATATTTCTGGCAGTTTTGCTCCAACCACTGCTAAACCACAGTTTGAGCCTTCTGATTTTGATCACAGACTAAAAGTGAAACTTAGCTGACTCTAAAAACAAAATTGTGAATTTAGGTGTGAAAATCCTGTAAATTCAAAGATGTCATTTCTTCCTTCTCCAGACTTGTGTGAATATCAGTAATTAACTCATTAAACATTCAGGTTAGAAATATATTGAAGTATTTTGCAATAATTTCTCCAATTCTATTAACAGAAACATAATTTATATGGTTTTGAACAAGCTACAGCAGTTTATGATCAGATAAAAACTACCAAACAAGTATTTTTATTGGATAAATGGATAGAGAGCTGTAAAACATTGATTTATAGTAAAACGATAGATTATCATAAGAGTTCTTGCAGAAAGAAATATAAACCCACAAATTATATAAAAGTTCAATTAAATACAGAACCATACTATGTTGTAAAACATCTAGTCTGCTACTGCAGGGAAGAAAAGACATGCGAAATAAGAATAGACATGAGGTAGTAACCAGCATCATTCAGCTTAAAACAAACCAGCATTTTATTTTATTGAAAATATTAATCATCATCATCATCATATCAAATGAAAATCCATCACTGGCATCATTGTCCCCGATTTGTCAATCTTTCATTTCATGTTTGGATCAAAGTTACCCCCAGTAGAAATCAAGAGGTTGATATCTAGAAAAATCTTTCAAAACAACTTTGTGCTGACTGTGAATGATGATGAGAATGCTCTAATTCCTTAGGTGACTCTTCAGGGCTTCTGTAACAGTCAATATTATTGGATTTTTTCCTGTCAGCATTACTATTACAAAACCTACAAGGTCTAAATCATAGAAAAGACCCCAAATCTTAGAGATTAGTTCCAAAAACATTTTCCCCACAAGAAAGCCAGTTTAAGACCCATGTAAGTTCCTAACCCAACTGGTAATTCATCCTCCTGCATTACTCCCTACTTGGGCACTGGTCTCTGTAAATTCAGTCGCCTGAAAGATCTGAGGTTGGAAAAAAACAAACAGCAATGCCTTACAAGGATATTTGAGATCATTTCAGAGATCTGATTTACAGCTACACCCCATTACATTATCCCAGCTCTGGCAGAGAGGCTGGAACAAGCAGCACAAAAGCTGAAATGTCTTGACCTGGCTTCGTCATCGGAAAGACTGTTCTTAGAATGGTATCTGCAGTTGTCATTCTGCTGGATTTGCTCTAAGAAAGTGTTATCAGTCACATATTTCAACATACTGTAAAAAAATGATTGCGATTCAAAGGTACTATATTAGATGAATACTGAATAGTGTCTAACACCCCCTCTCCCCCACCCCCCCATAAATCAGGAGAGAATGACTTGTTCCTACCTGACTTCTCAGTGGGAGTTGTCTTTTGCTGTTTAATTTTCTCCTCTGTATTGTGAAAGCAGCATTAAAATTAGAAATTGACACTGAACTGGAAGAATATTTCTATACATGATAATATACATATGGTTCACAATCACAAAATAAATAGATGTCTTTAGCATCACTATCTCATTCTAGTACTGTAAAACAGCATGTATGCATTATGAGTTTTGACTCTGAGGTGAGATCATACTCCATGGAAAAAATAAATTACTGGGCCTAATGTCTCAGCCACCAGAACACAGCCACATACCTGGTAGTGTCTTTCAGGCGGGTACTCAGGTGGAAACTGTATTCTATTAATACAACAATTATAACTGTGAACATCACCTTTCTAAGTGTCTCAGTTCAACAGTTTGGTATTATACAATGCTGAGAACTTCTGCTTAGATACTGCCTAACCGCAAATATGCGTGGACATATTCACGTGTGCCTACGCTCTGAAGATGAGAAAGGTACTGAGACCCCTGAGCACATGTTAACTCGCAGAAGCACATCCACATGGGACAGTGCCAGACTGAATGCTGGTTCATACCACCTGCTACTGGACAAGCTTACCTAGACCCAGCTGGATATCAGTCACAAAACCTTAGAGAAGCCCTGAGTTTCTGCTAATCTCATGAGAGAAGCTGCCCAAGTTCACAGGCTCTTGAGCTGCCCGTGGCTTTCCTCTGCACAGTTCTCAGATGACACGGACCCATGTTGACATCAGCCACCAGACCTGAGCTGGCTCTCCTCTGAGTAGGCTGCTGGATGAAGCTTCAGACAGAGGCACAAGTAGGACTACACTTTCTAATCAGGTGAGGTTTGTCATAACTGTCCAATGGTCCTGTCAGGTGGGAATTGGGATTTTTATTTTCAGATCTCTGCTCTGCCCAGTTTGATTGACTTGATCTTCACCCTTCTGGATTCTTTCATAGCCCTACATCCATTTTCTTTCTTTTCCCATACATTAATTCAAACATCTCTCCTAACCCCTACCTTACAACATTCACATACATCACTACTTTTCTTTTTAAACGTGTTTAAGACACATTCAGAATGTATTTCCCCTTCCTCTCATTGATAGAAGTTTACAGCCACATGCCTCTGACCCCTTTCTTTTCCCCAAGACTTCTGTAAGGCATCAGGTTGAAACTGACAGTGTCTGGGAAGAGGTCAGGTCTGGCAGAGTCCCCTGAAGCCATTCAACTCAGACGAGTACTAGTTTGCTAGAAAACCTACCAGGTAGTCTGTGCATGCACAAAGCTGCTTGGCTCCTGAATATGAGCATTATTTCCAGCCTGGTGGTCAAACTGGTTCTTAAATGAGATGATGGAGGGAGGTACTGGGAGGGGGGTGGCTGTCCAGAACCATCTGTGAAGTATCAGATTCCTGGTTTAGCCATCACTGTACCTATGTACCCTCAAACAATCAACCTCAAGAACTGCTGCTCTTTTTGGGGGGCTGTCTGGAACCCAAATGTCCAAGTTTGGATGCTTAATCCTAATCTGCACTCTGACTAAATATGTAGATAGTACAGTATTTAGAAGAGCAGACTGTTGTGTGGTCTCAATATACATGACATTTCCTTTGAATTTAGCATGTATCTTCCAGAGGATTTTTTTTTTTTCTCTTGAGGGCAGAGAGCAGGTTTATCTTCTTTGTGATGATTTCTTTTTAACTTGATTCTCTGAAATTCCCAGAGGTGTATACTTACCAAAGATGCCTAAAAAGATATCTATCATCTGTCAATAGATGGAGAAGCAGCCTCATTGCTGCATAGTTCTTTTCTCATCCGTAACACAGCAGCATCCAGCAAAGCTACAGTGCAAGTATGGACATGAAACGTACAGCAATCATGATTTGGGTTTTGTTTGTTTATTCTGTGGTTTTTTTGTTTGTTTCTGGAAGAAAATCAGTACTGATGGGGAAAATACGGGGAGGGATTAAGCTCCATGGTTACTGATCTTTTCTATCCTTTGGAAATAAAATATAGCCCTGCATTATTATGCTTTTTAGTTGTCATCTGGTAGGTGGCGATTTAATTTATTTTCACTTTTATTAAGTTTAGGGCTTTTTTCCCCCCTTACTCAGCTATTGTTATTGTCAGCTCCTTATGAAAGTAGTGAATTAAAAAATCTCATCTCAATTTCATGGCTGTCTGTGATGCTAGAAATGTTTTTATAGAACAACTAGCGGCTTGAAGGTGCAACTTGTTGAGATAAAGTATCCCCTTTCTGCTCTTAGATAAACTTTAGCATTTAACATTGCATTTCACTAATTTAGGTTGGGGTATTAAGTTTTCTATGTAGCAATACACAAAAAGCCTCAGCATGCTGACTTTAAACATAGGTCTTGTACCATCCACTGGATTAATGACAAGTAAAGCTCAAAAGGTTTGGATCTTCTCTTTCTTTAGATATTAATGCTGCTCTTTTGAACACTAAATAAGATTTTTTTAAAAATTTTTCTAATTCTGGTGAGAATTTACAGCAGTATTTGCTCTGTAACTCTAAGAGTTGATCAAACAAGTCTGTGAGTGGATGACATGTTTGATCCATTTAAAAGTATGGGAGGGATTTCTTTTCACAATGAATTAATTCTTGAAAACAAAGTGTCTTGGACAGGCCTGTCGACTTGCATTCATCTGGGAATAAATACAGTAATTCTTTGGTATTCATTCATCTACTTGTTCTGCAACCTAACCACACAGAAAATACTGATCTGTTGATTCCACTGGAGAACACCCTGATGTGGAAGATCTCCAGGAGGTGACTATGGCTTCTTCTCTGATTTTTCTAGCCACTGATTGTAACCAGAAGGAAAACTACAAGGAATAAATTATCAAAATTTAAGGAGAACACTCTCTACGAGGGAACACACTTCAAAACATCAGGAAGGTTCACAAAATAATTTCTGTTCACAAGATCCAACATGAAGAAAAGCAGCGATAAAAAATCTGATGAGGATAATACATACTATTTTGGCAAGAACAGAAGTAATATTTCCATTTTTTCCCAAACTTGTTGTTTACTATACAATAAGGAGTTCAGGAAAAAAAATAAAAAATTATGTCCTCATAAAGCCACAAAAAGTCCAAATATTTTTTTGTGAATGGTTCAGAAAAATTCAGATTCTGTTCTAATTTTGAATAAGCTCAGAGTTTAACATTCTGAAATCTTTCATTGGAGAAAATGTCTTTCCTCTGCAGAGCTCTAGTTTTGCAGCATTACAAGCATTAATATTAATTTTTTCCCCTGATGTATCTAATTTAAAAGGAAAAATATAAAGCTGTAAACATCTCTCTGTGTATTGCAGGCAGTTTCAGAAGAATTACATCAGGAATGAATTCTGTTGCTGTACTTCCTCTCACACACATACACAAAACACTCTTCAATTTAAACATTTCCCTACAGGATCAATATATTTTCTGAAATTTTCTAGTTTCTCAGTCATGTGATGCTTCTGAGTCTGATGACGTGAGGTATAGGAATAATAGTTTGAAGTTGCTTGGAATCAAGGTGAAAAAGGAGGTCACTGCTTTATACAGAACGAGGCTTTTATAATTCAGTCTGATAACTCAAGAGCACTCATTGGCACACAGCAGGCAGAAGCACTGCTACCACCAGTGCTTGTAGATTAATACTTCCAGTCATCAACTGAAACTCAAAACAGCCACTGCTCTCCAAAGCAACCATTAATCATCTGAGAAGAGATCTTTTATGCTAAAGGAAATTTAGCAAGCCATTTTTTCCCCCTTTTTTATTTATTTTTTTTTCCTTTCAAGCATTTAAATTCCAAGGTCTTTCGTCTGGAAAATACTGTACTATACTAGAGCAAGCTTCTAATCAGTCCAATGTATTCGATTGTGACATGGTGTTCTTATGTTTGCAAATGCCTCACCAAGGAAATTTATTTTTATGACATTGTGTGGATGAGATCAAGCTGACTGTGCAACAGGACTGATTAAATTTTGCAGGAAAGGTGAGTGGTTGTGCCACCTGCCTGGACAGTCCCCTGTTTGGCACACCACTGACCCCTCCCAGGATATGCAGAACTGGGTAGGGTGGCTTCCTTGCTAGGATATTCCTGCCTTGGCTGAACCTACCTGCACTCACCTGCTGGCTGAAGCACTCTGCTAACTGTTAATACACAAAAAGTGATCAATGAGGGAAAAAAAAAAAAAAAAAAAAGGCTGTAGTGAGAAACATTGCTTTTTTCCTCTGTTGACTCAAACTCAGCAATGCAACTTCACTAAATTGGCTACTCAAGACTTGCAGGAAACTTCAAAATGTCTATAAAAATACTTAACTTACAAGTAGAATATCATATTATAAAAGCAAATGAGAAAAATAGTAAACGCATAGAAGAAAATTCTTGCTTTTAAAAAAAAATCAGAATAAACCCCATAATAATAATAAAAAAAGGCTGCCTGTTTATCATTGAACACATAAGGTTTTACATGGTTTATCCAATCACTTATTCATGACCACTTCTATTTTATGTGAAGTTCAAAGAACAGTGCTATCAGAAAAGGTTGGTGGGACCCTGATACTTTTTTTCAGTGCTCACTGCATCTGGTAAAACCACTCAGGAGTGATGTAAACAGAGCACCAATAGTTGAGTTTTCTATGAGATTATCTTAGTTTTCTTTCTTTGCACCAGACCCAGCTGTGGACTCCTGAGTGCCTTCCTCCTCCAAAAACATGATGAGGCACTAAGCCCTCATTCAAAAGGGAGACCCCTGTCCTGCAGCCAGTTGTCTCTGGTTGTTATTTACAGTTTACCTGAGTGCATAGTCAGCCCAGGTTTTCACTTTTTGTTTTTATTATTTTTTAAAATTTTTCAGCTCCTGTTCTTCTGAGATTCAGAAACTGGAGGCTGCCTCTCTTTGGGTTATAATACATCTAGTGAAACTGTAATTCATCCTTTTTGGAGACCCTACCCACTTCATGTAACTGGTTTACTGAAAAGCCTGATTACGGGGGTAATTCCCAGTATTATTCCGATGTACTGAAGGGCAATAGTCAACTCCTTCCCCAAACTCTGGAAAATGGGTTTTGTTAATGCTTTATAAACCATACTGCACCAGTGAGAGAGAGTCACAGATACTATGAAAAACTGTGAAAGCTGAATCCTTTTATTTAAATTTCACCCTCATTTTTGTTCCTCTCCCAAGCTCTGAAAAAGCCAATGACACAAAGCAAAAAATCAGTGCTTAGCTCAGGGAAGTCTCCAAGTTTTGCAAACTACATATATCCTTATTGAGTGAAGCCTGGAGTAACTGGAAATTAAATTACCAAACCTACCTGGCTTAGTCTGAGAGATAGCTTTTTCATGTTTAACGTGCTCATGCTCTGCAAATAAAACCCCTTACATTAGAAGGCTTTTTAATTTTTAGAAGATTTTAAAAATAAAAGATTCTTATTATGATTTCAAAATATGACTTTGTATTATTCACACTAGACTTGAGAAGAATTTTTTGATAAATATCTTTCTTGAGAAAAGGTATTTAATTATTTTTTCCCTAAAATTATAAATAACATCAAACAAAATTTTTTACTTTTTAACCTGGTTTAAGAAATCACAAAATTTTATTCTCTGTTTTTTTAGAAATATCATAGAATTTCTAAAATTGTGAAATGCTTCTGCTACTAATTTTGATTGCTATCACCTATCTTCTATGTAGACAATTCCTCCTTGATGTTTAATATAGAAATCATGAAAATGTTTTATTACAACAGAAGTGGGTTTGTCTCATATAGAATGGCACATAAAAGTTCAGTATATTGCATAAAGAAAAAACAGATTTCCATATTTCTCTGTTATCCTGGATCCCATAGATATCTTGTGAAGCAGTAACAATAGTAAATATTATGCTGTATTAAAATATAAGCTGTATGCATTTTTGTGCTATTTAAAAACAGCATGATATCCAACCCCCACCATTATGAGACAGAAAAAAAGAAAGCTATGGCATTTTGGAGGAATGTTAAATATATGTTTCATACTGATTTATAGCAGCTATGTCTACATTGTGTAGCAGGTGAGGGTTGCAGCATACCAAGAGATAAATCTCTCTATTGCTTGGATCAGAGCCCTAGCCAGAGAATTGCACAGATCCTTCCTCGTCTGTGGCCCCATGAATTTTTTCCAATGCAAAGCTGCCATGGAGGCAGAGGGCACAGGCGGATCTTATCTCAGCCTGAACTGGAAAATGGTTTTCATGCAAACTGGAACCTGCGAAAGACACCTGGTCTTGAATTACAGAGAGAGTAATTGAAAACCAGTTTCATACGCCAAAATTTCCTGTGAGCTTGTGTTGATGAATCCTATCTTAAACTGCTAAAACTTTGGCGACATGAACCTTCCTCATAAAAGCTGAAGTAACATCATTCTTTATCAACTCGATACTTACTGTGTTCATGAGATTTCTCTGAGGTAGCTAGAAGTAAACAGAAAAGGTGTAGTTTAATATTTTTGTGACTGTAATGCAGGATTTAATACATTTATTCATGACATTTGTAGACACATAAAATAAACATTCAGTGAAATTTATATTAAAATGTGCAACAGTTACCATTGTCTGTCCTACACTACCCACCCCAGACACCTAACTGGGACACTTAGTTAAAGAACATAGGCAACCTAAAATTCTCATATAGCTAATGTTTGATACAAATACTGCTGGAAGGCTCTGAGCCTCCTCAGTGGGCTGAGTTGCCCTCACTAAATGATGACCATATATATCAAACCTAAGGCAACTATCTTGCTAAGTGAGTTGCATTGTTCAGTGTCCATTAAGAGGTAGGACAAGTTCAGACCACAATGTGTCCAATAGAGGACAAAACCAGACAAATGATTTGAGTGAGGAGATGACACCTGGGGCAGTCTAAATGTAAAAGTCCATGACGATCGCACCTGCCCTACTGATGTCAATGAATTTCAGATAGTTCCAGTGATATTTCAAGGAGCAGAAAGATGTAATTAACATAATTAGGGCACATCTAAACAAAAGGACTCATCATTTCAGTGCCACAGCTCCTAAACTTTGTGCCTTTTTATTTTCTGTTTTTTTCCAGAAAAAAAACCAGATGAGATAAAACTGAAAATTGAGCTAATAGTTTCCACGGACCTTTAGAGAACATGTATCAGATAAAGCAAAAGCTCAGGGAGCTGTACCCAATGTCATTACTGGTTCTACAGAAGGAAGTGAAATGCCAAGACCTAACCTACCAGCTGGGTTTTTCCTCTTGACTTTTCCAATACAGCTGTTGTTTTTAAGAGAATAAAGTCTCTACCACCTGCACGTAGCAGTCCCTGTGTTTGAAAGAGCATAATCCCACAGACAGCTGCAGCAGTGCAGGGGATGAGCTGCCTTTGCAGGCCCAGCAACACAAGCAATAACTCTGCTGCTGTGAGCTCCCAGGTTGTGATTCACTGAGCTCCCGAGCTCCCGCTCGGTGCAAAAAGTAACTGCTGTGAAAATGAGTTTTTGTTTTGCTTGTTTTCCCTGTAGTATAAAAACGCTCTCATTTTATATTATTATTTAATCCAAGTTGTTGTACATTTAAGGAAACAGCAACTAGAGACGGTGTGCAGAGAAAAAAACAAAAATAATGGAATTTTTTTGGGGGGGTAATAGAGAATAAAGATACAAATTAAGTGTCTATTCTTGTTCCTAAGGGAGGAATTATAAATAACAAACAACAGAAAAACAGGGATCCCATGACAAAGCTACATTTGTTCTCTTTGTGTGCATAAAAAAAAGTTCTTGTAAATTTAGGCTCAATTGTTTTTCATGAACACCCCAAAACCCACAAAAAATTGTTCCCTAAACATCATAATTTTAGGTAAATTCTATAAAATTTGTCCAAAATATATCTGAAATTTGTAGAGGAAATTAATTTTGTATTATGAGAAAAGACATAGTGAGATATACTCACCTAGCTATGAATTTCAATTTGCAAAAGGAAATTAATGGCAAATATTAAAAAAAATATGAACTTCATGGGCTGGTATAATGACTTACATAGCTATGATAGAATATTGTGCCACATGACACTTTCAGTGACCTCCGGTAATGATCAGAGATAGGCCACATATGAACAGTATTAATTTAAAGACTCTTACTGATCACAAACAAGCTTTTGTTATAACATCCTTATCACAGATTTGTAATTTGTTTTAAAACACTAAAGCCAAAACAAAACCATTACACCTTAAGTTTCTAGTGAAGCCCGTGCAGTTATTACCCCTTTTCTGTTTGTGAATATGAGTCACAGAGAATGTTTAAAGCAATAGGAACTCAGCCAAAGTCTGGTCCCTCAAGTTTAGGAAGGTAACTGTGTTGCCCTTGTTCATATTTTCTGTGGAGGTATTAGTTAGACAATCTCGTATAGCACCAGTATTCAGCCACAGCTTGAACACTAAGATTATTGCTATCAGAGCTTCACCTAACTTAGCCTTCTTTTTTCTTCTAGTGTAAATCTCAGAGATATTTCCTCTACATATGTTGATGGAATAACAAAAATCTTCTAAAATTAAAAGTTTTTACAGGATGTATTGGTTATTCTGAAACATATTTATATTTTGCTGGGAAAAAACCCTAAGTGAAAATTTGAAATGGTCTTTAGGCCATAAAGAAAAATGTTTATGTTTTGATACGTGTTAACTCCGATTTCAGTCCATCAAATATTAATCTTCTCTTTCTTTTTTATCACACTATTTCATCAAAGATGCAATTCAAATGACTTATACAGTAAGCATAAAGCTGAAAAATTAAATCCCAAGACCCTTAGTTTAATTTTTCCAGTATTATGATTGTCTATATCACAGATACCCTGATTTGTAGTCTAGTTAGTGAAAACAGGAAGATAAAACCTAAATGTTAATGACCTACCCAGACTTTCTAGAATATTTAATGATATATTATATGGTATTTAAGGTAAGGGATGAGAAATGAAAGGTTATATTCTGCTGCTCTCACTCATTTCATGTAGTATCTTGTTTAAATAATATTTCCTTATACAGTGACTAGATAAATTATGAAACTCCATGCTGCAAAATGTATGAATGTTGAAAATTTTAAAGATTTCAGAAAGTGACTGGGAAAGAAAAAAAATCTACCAATTGCTCTTAAACATGAAGATACGGTTTCTGGCTTAGGAAGTTCCTGAGCTGAGATTGTGGGAGTTCGCAAGGTGATCTCTGTGTGGTTGTTCTATTCCTGTACTCTTCCCTAGGCCTTTGCTGGTTTGGTCATTGGTGTTGGGTTAGGTGAACTCTTGGTGTCACTTGTTGTTCTGCTGTTATTAACAGGGCTACCTGTTGGGTAAATACCTGCTTGCTGTTCACAATGTTAGAAAATTCAGTCCTGAGTAAATATTTTATTTGTTTAACATTTAAGTTATATTAGAGTAGGAAAAGGGTCAGATTTGGATCTAATGAAAACAGATGGCTCTTTGGTGAAATTTTTGAAGCTACATAAGATCTGAATTGTATCAAAGAAAATATCTGGTTCTACCCTCAGCAAAAATGTTTTTGAAATTTCTTTTGTGTCATTCTAAATTAAACTTGATAACCAGTCTTGGTAGTTATCTTGATGTTTTTTCACATTCACTTCAAATGTTCTTTGACTCTTGCCTGCTATTCTGAATGTCAGAAGGGTATTAATTATATACGGCATATTTTTGTAAATTAGCTTCTGATATGGGTTCAGAAAAGAAATTCTCTGTTTTATTGAACCATAAATTGGTGAGGCTAAAAGCAGAACGTGCTTTTGGATTATAACATGTCTATTTTCCATCTGGAAAACAGTCATTTGCTGTTCAGACAACAAATATATTTGTGAGTGTGCACACTCTGTAAGGAAAGAATATGTCATGCAGGAAATGAAAGCGATGCCAGAACTATTTGTTTTATTGAAGAATAACAAAATAATAACACATGCTGTAGCTGAGAAAATGATTTCTAATTGGGTAGCTACATGTGTATTATAAATAAGAACGTTACTTTCCATTAGGCTAAGAGCCTGGTTCATCTCTCATTAAAGTGAACACAAAGAGTCTTTAACAGGATTTGGACTGGGCATTAGACAAACACACCCATGATGTTAATCTGTAACAACATTACAGGCCAAAAGAAGAATTAAGATCAGCAGGAGTCTTTTAATGGAATTCTCCAGATCTGTACCTTAACCTTCTAGTTTATACATCATGACAGAGGATAGATCTTTGATTTCCTTATTCAAGCTAAAGAAGTTCATTCCCCCTGAAAGTGAACTCTAGATATTCAATTTGGCCCTTAGATAAACTAATGGACATTCCTCTTTTAAAATTCAGTAGGAATACTGTAGTCTTGCAAGGGTTAAAGATGCCACATTATTGTGTTTAATCATCAATGCGCTTTTGATTTAAGGTTGAATAAAACAGTTTTGGTCTAGTCAGTGAAAGGTTTTTCAGACTGGGGAGCAACTATGCTATCAAAAAGTCAGCCAGAATAAAACGTATTCCTTACATTAGACCAGTTCAGAATGTCTCAGATGATAATGACTTTGGAAAAAAAAAAAAAAAAAAAAAGGGTTATTAAAGGGTTATTGGGATTTATCACTCTGTTCAAGAGCAGCTCTCCACCTTTGTGAAGTTATTGTCTTTATTTTGTCATTCAAATGAGAAATCAAATATTCCCACAAGTTTTCTAGATCAGCAGACCCAATCCCTCATATCTGACTGTGTCCTACTCAAGTCCTGCTGGCTGGCTGAGCTGCTGGCAGACTGACTGTACAGAAAAAACAGCCTTCTAAGCATATGTCTAAAAAAATGTCTTCTCACAGATTAGCTGCAACAAGCTTCCTATAAAGAGAATGGCTTGTCCTCATCCTGACCCCTGCTCTATGTTAGAAAATTGCCTTGACAGTGTATGGCCAATAGCTACCCTATGGATGGGTTAAAGAAAGCAAGAGTGTGGTGGTGGCATAAATAGAGGAAGTTGGTGTATGATTATATTAAAGTACATGCTGTTCCAGCCATGTCCTTACCGGATCTCTTGATTCCCTACAGCGTTCATTTTACATTTCGGGTTTACTTTAAACCTATAATTTTCCAGGATATTTGTCCAGGTTTCTACACATTAAAGAAGCATTATCCCACATTAACATGACAGCTTTGAAATACTGAAATTGATTTATATAAGGGTATGTGGAAGGTTTGCAGGGAAACAGAGAACTTGAGCTTTCAGCTAGTGCTCTCACTCATTAGCAGGGAGTGTTTGTCTGGGTCTGTGCAACACCACAGACTTCCTTGGATCATTGTTTCATCAGGACTCTTGTGAGTAATGATGACAACAGGGTAAATGGTTCAGGTAAACCCTCCTAAAATGCCATTGTTTGCCATTATAATTAATAATTAACCACTGATACGAGAACCTGTAGTATATTCACTTGCA